GGAAAGAAGGAAGAAAGAAAGGAAAGAAGGAAGAAAGGAAGGAAGGAAGGAAGGAAGGAAGGAAGGAAGGAAGGAGGAAGGAAGGGGGGAAGGAAGGAAGGAAAGAAAGAGAAAGAAAGAAAGAAAGAAAGAAAGAAAGAAAGAAAGAAAGAAAGGAAAGAAAGAAAGGAGGAAGGGAGGAAAGAGAAAGAAAACCAAGCAAACAGCACTACTTGTCTCAGACAAGTCAAACGGATAATCCACGTGAAGCACCCACGGGAAGCTGTGCTCAGACTTCTGTGGCTACTTTGGAAGAGAGATACACATTTCTTTATATCCTGCTTCATCCAGGTGAGATCCTGTTGCAGAGCTCTGCGCGACTAACAGAAGTGAGTCCTAAGGAGGGCTGAGGGACTTGCCCAAGGCCACACGAAGCTACAAGTGGCAGAGCTGTTCGGTGCTGGCCCTACGACCGGTTCTCGAAACGGCAGGCTCAGGGCACAGGACAAACCGCGCACGCGCTGATGCTAGTCTAATGTGTGGATCGTTAACAGAGCTCCAAGCAATGACATAAATTCAGATTCAATATTCTTCAATGACATACAATCAGTTTCTGGAAGGAAAGATAAGGAATATGATTCTAAGCTTATAGGTAAGAGAAAAGGACCCACCGACTGAGGTGCTCTTAAGCAAAAGATTCCAGGTAAACTCCCCAGTCCCTCTGCTGAAAGCAGCCGGTGGAAGGTGGGGTCATATAAAGCTGACATTAGCTCTCTAACAGGCCTTGGTTAAAACTTAGTTATCTGCAACATTCTCAGCAGCATGACTCACAGTCGCGGAGAGGAGCCCATCACCCCAAGTGCCCACTGACAGATGAATGGATAAACAAAATGCGGTGTACGTGTCTAATGGAGTATCATTCAGCCATAAAAAGGAATGAAATTCTGTGGATGAACCCTGAAAATGTTATGCTAGGTGAAAAAAGGCCAGACACTGACAGACAAATACCGTCTGATTCCACTTATGAGGTACCTAGAATGGGCAAACTCACGGAGACAGAAAGGAGAACGGTATTTGCCAGGGGCTTGGGGCAGGGAGGGAAGCGAGCAAGCTACCGTTTAGCAGGTGCAGAGTTCACACTGGCATCAACAACAAGCTCTGCGGTATAGACAGTGCCGATGGGTACGTGGCATTCTGAAAGTAATTAATGCCACTGAGTTGTGCTCACAAATGGCTAAACGGGAAGATTGTGTTGTGCACCAACGACAACACAAAAACCAAATCAGGCATCTGAAGCTATGATATGATTGGCGTGTGACTTGGCACCATGTTTCAAGGAAAACAGTAAAGGGGCGCCGGGGTGTGGCTCGGTCGGTCAGGCATCCAACTTCGGCTCAGGTCATGATCTCACGGTTCACGGGTTCGAGCCCCACGTCGAGCTCTGCGCTGACGGGGTGGGGCCCAGTTGGGACTCTCTCGGCCCCTCTGTCGCTCGCATGCGCTCTCTTTCTCGCTCTCAAAAACATACGTTAGAGACAAGGACACGTACTAAAGTTGTAGCCACACAGTATTACAGCTCAGCAGTCAATGTCACACACCCTTTGGCAACGTACTTATTGCAGTGGTGCTTCAGGTGTTTCTTGTAGCTGTCCTCCTGGAACAAGGCATCCGGGTTGCAACCCGCCAGCCAGTCGGCATCCTGCACCACCGGATGGGTGCTCTGGGCTTTCACCTTCTTTCCTTTCCTTCCCCTGGGCACCGGGGCCGATAAACCTAGAGTCGTAACAATAACAGTAATAATAAATAATAGCAACAACAGCAACAAAAGTTTTGTACAACCCCAATTACAGTGTCAGACTCGGACATTTCCCCACATGTGTGGCAGGGAGATATGGAGTCTAGGTTGTGTCACAAGGGTCCTGGGTGGCTCTCCGGGACCCTGCGGTACAAACGACATGAAGCGGACCTACCAGAATGGTTGACCAAGGCTCGCGTCTGGCCGTCCGCCGTGGGCGTGATCAAATCCCAGATGAAACTTTTGATATTCTCATCCCCCTTGTAATGATTGAGGCAGTACACGAGGATGGCCCTGCAGATGGTTTCCACGTCTTGCTCAGTGAGCTGACGCTTGTAGCGCCCGTGCGAAAGGATATCTGTCCACCGTCCCCAGCTGCAAAGCAGATATTCAGCATGTAGACGGTGCCTTTCAGTTTAGATCTGGGGCTTTACTTTCACAGGCAGGCAGCAGCGTTAGGGAGGCCTTGGCCGCCCTGGCAGGCCCTGCCATTTGCCCCGGCCTGGGCCTCTCTGGCTTCTATGTACTCAGTTCCTCAAACTGCAGGGCTAATCCTCACCTTCAGGCCTTGGGACACACTGCTCTCTCTGCATGGAACTCTCTCTCCCTGCCCAGCACCGGACTCTCTCTCTTACCCGGGCTAATCCGCGACGTCCACCCATTAAGTCACGCCGCTGTCTGTGGGACCCCCTCTTACATTCCCCCTAGCCTCAGGAGCGGGAGACAATACTCGAGCTGCCAATTCAAGGACAGACCCGTGGCTGACTCTCCCTTTGCGCCATCTTCCCTGCCATAGTACCCTCACTGTTGATTGCCGCTTCTGCTTGTTCACCTTCCCTGAGGCAGGGCCCTGACTGTCCTACTCATAGGTGCATCCCTGGTGTCTGATATCCTACCCAGTGCCCCGCCTCCAGGAGGTGTCTACTACATAGTGATGCCTAGAGGAGGAGGGCAGCCCTTTCCTCAAAGACACCGCACTCGAAGCATACTTCTTAGCTTTAGGAGTCCTTGATATATCCCATTTCTAAAGCTATCGGCAAAACTCTCAGCTACTAACTTTGATGGTTAGGTTGAAACATACAAGCAGGTGCAAGTAGCAAAGGGCTCAGGGATCTGTCCTGCTGAGACACAGAATGGGCTTCAGCTGAACTTCATTTATTCCACAAGAAATCACTGATTTGGCACTCATTTTGTGCCTGCTAGCATCGCACTCTTCCCCGAGGACACAGAGAAAAGAGTCTCGGGCTTCGTGGAGCTCTAACTGGGGCTCTCTCAGGAGAGGGCTGCTACTCAAAGTCATAAGACAACATGATGGGTGTGATAGAACGTGCAGACCAGACTCTCTGGTGCAGGACGCCAAGGTGATGCCCGTGCTGATGTCGACGACAGGAGCTGTTGGGCAGAGCAAGTCTGTGTACTGGGTGTGTGTGTGTGTGTGTGTGCGCGTGCTCACACTCTAGGCAGTGGAAAGAACTTCCAGAAAGACAGAGATGAGACAGAGCATGGCACACTGAAGGAGATGAGGCGGTCTATCCCAACAGAAGCCTGAGCTACCCACAGAAAGGACCAACAAGACACATAAGGGCCAGATAAGAGCCCTGTAGGCCAGATTAATAGAGAGTTTGTGTTTATTCTGAAATTAATGATAACCCACTGGAAGAACTAATCAAAAGCAGGATATCACCAGACCTATAGAAAAATTATTTTGGTGGCAGTTTTTTTTTTTGACTGGAACTTGTCTGCAGTCCCACAGTGTGCTAAAGAACTCTTTGGAGATTCAGGTATCTACCTTACCATCATTCAAAGCACTGGGTGGCATTTCACACAGATTCAGAAATGAATTAGATGTGGCTCCTGCCTTTCAGAGACATGTTGTCCAGCAGGACAAACACGACACATTTGGAGTTGAAATAACCACCCCTGGATGTTTGAGATGAGCTGCAAGACCTTCAGAACCAAGACGACTGCCTTTGACAGGTTTTTGTAACAGAAAAAAAGTACTGAAAGACTACTATAGTCACAAACTGCATGTGAAGCTAAAACAGGAAACGCATCTGTGGTCTTGAGACTTCATTCTACGTTATTAGTCACCGACAGGTAAGTCTGGATCTGACATTGTTCCTTAAGGGCCAAAGCTGTGCTCCTTCCCATCCACGAGGATCCGAACAACCGTGAGCATCTTTACCAAACAACCCTGGGCCCCGTCAAAGTTGTTGCAAAGTCATTTGCTTGGCTGCATTATGGGGAGTCACAGAAATCCAGACACAAAAAATACCTTCCCTACGCTGGTCAGAATTTGACATTTAGAATAAAATTCTGTGTTTCACATGAGTCTGACTCACCCATAGACGAGCAGATTCTTCTCAACTCTAAAGCACTCACTCCTCGCGTAGCCCTGGGACCTGTCCTGGGGCCGCCGCGGCTTCGTGCAAGGCTTCTCTTCGGAATCACTTTCCAAGTCTGAAAACTCCATCAGCTCGTCTTCTTTCACTGCACTGTACAGCCTGGTTTGCTTCCTCACTCTTGGAGTGTCAATAACCAGGTTGTTCTAAAAAAGACAGCAGATAACTTTAAAACTTCTAAAAAAGCACCCCTTGGGTTGTAGTAGATAGGGTTTGAGCAGGACCTCTCACTCACCCTCCCGTTTAAGGCATCAATATCCAATTCAGCCTTCTTAGCCCACTTTTGCCAGAAATTTGGATCATCCAAGGAAATGTCTGTCCTGTTTCCAGATGCAACAAAACTGGCCTAAAGGGGGAAAAATATGCATGACTTTCAGATGCTTTTCTCAGAGGCAAAATGCAAAGCAGTTTTCATTTACTCGGTCAGCCAAACACGTATGCGTTCTTGCACTGTGTGCTACATGCTGCAGTCTGAGGGCGAGGATGAGAGACCGTCCCTCAGGCAGCTCTCTGTCCAGGGGTTTCAACAGATCAGGAAGCAAAAGGTGACAGTACAGCGTGATCAGCGGCAGGTAACAAAGGTACGTGCAGGTGCAACTGATATACAAAGGGGGGCCCTAGCCAGGTTCGTGAGGGGGTGGAGGTGCAGGGCGGGCACTGCTGGGACAGAGAACTGGCTCCCCAGAATATAATGCCTGGACCAGGCTGTTAAAAGCTCACAGACCAGGAAAAGCATGTGGAACCGTTCACGACAGAGCATGTCAAAGGCTCAGAGGAGAAGCAAGGCAGTTGTGTCACGTGGCTGGTGATAAAGGTAGTCAGGGGAGAGCAGCGAAAGGTCAAGCTGGTGAAGCGCGCAGAAACCAGGCCATGAGGGGCCTTGCATGTCCCGTTAACGGGGTTCTGAGGTAGCAGGGAACTCTCTCAAAATGGAAATAACCTCAAGGCGGACACAATCGTATCCAAAGCCACCTGTCAGAGAGATCCTACCGACGTCCTGGGGCACGGGAGGGTAGAACAGGCTACTAAAGTAATTTACACAGGGAACGGCGAAGAATGAAAATGGCTCCGGCAGAAGTGGACAAAAGGAGACAGGCTAGAAATGCGTTCTTTAAAAGGTAAAATGAAAGGAGTTAGAATCTGGGTGGATGTGAAGCATGGAGGAGAAAGAAGAGGAGGAGGAGGTCAAGAAAACCCTCGGCAGCCAAGTCTAGCCTCTGAACGGCATCACTCAGGCAAACAAGCAGGCTGTGAATGTGGGCATGTCCACAGGGTGGAGGGACAGGAATGAGGTTCTGCACATACTGAACCTGAGGTGCCTGTGAGGACAGAGAACAGAGCCTGAGAAGAAACTGGAAAACGTGAGAGAGAAGGTGCTGGGTCACAGAGCCCAGAGGAGGGAGCCTTTCAAGACTGGCGTGGCCAGGGTGACTAGATGTCCGAGCAAAAGGAAGGAGACGGACCCTGATCACACACCACACACCAAGATTCACACACAAGAGACCAAGACCAAAATGTCAGAGTAAAAACCGTAAAGGAGCAAATCTGTGTGACCTTAGGTTAGACAACACATCAAAAGCACGAATAATGAAAGAAAAAGATGGGTAAACTGGACTTGAATGAAATTAAAGACCATTAAGAAAAGACTAGCAGAAAATACTTGCAACCTGTATTACCTAATGAGAAACTTTTATCTACAATATATAAAGAATTCTTAATATTCAACAATAAAAGACAAGTAACTCTAAAGATTTGAATAGACATTTCCCCCCAAATGATACACATATGGCTAACAAGCACATAAAAAGATGCTCAATAGCATCAATGAATGCAGATCAAACCAGAGTTGGGTATCACTTCACACTCACTAATATGGCTAGAATCACGAAGTCAGAAAATACAAAGTGCCAGTAAGGACATGGAGACATTAGAACCCGAAAACATGGCTGGCGTGAAGGGAGAACGGCGCAGTCACTTTAGAAAACGGTCTGGCAGCTCCTCAAAGGGTTAAACACAGAGTTAACACATGACCCCGCAATTGTATTTATGGGATCCACAGAAGAGAAATGAAAAGATGTCTCTGCACAAAAACCTGTTCATAAATGTTTGTAACAACGTTATCCATAATAACCCAAAGGTGGAGACAACCCACATTTCGTTTTCAACCAGTGAATGCGTAAACAATCCCAATGTCCATTATCAACTGCTAAAAGAGGTGCATCTATGTAAGAGAACACCATTCAGCAAAAAAAGGGAAGGAATTACTGATACATGTTACAACACGGATGAATCTCAAAAAACCATGCTGAGTGAAGGAAGCCAGACACAAAAGACCACATGTTGTATGATTCCATTTTATGAAATGTCCGGAGCAGGCAAATCTATAGAGGCAGCAGATTAGTGGTTGCCAAGGACTTGGCAGGAGGGGAGGGGAGGGGAGGGGAGGGGAGGGGAGGGGAGGGAGGAGGAAGAGGAGGAAGGGAGGGAGGAGACGCTGACTGCTAATGGGCATGGGGTTCTGGGGAGATGGAAAAGTTCTAAACTTAGATGTGGTGATAGCTGCACAAGTCTGCAAATATGGTAAAGGCACTGAATTGTACACTCAAAAATCGGTGAATTTTATGGTAAGTAAATTACATTTCAAGAAAGCTGTTAAAAATAAAGGTGTAAAGTGGGCCTGGGTGTGGATGGGTGGAGCGACGTGCAGCGGGGGCCCTCAGAAGGCGCTCTCAGTCAAGCGGTGGTGACCTTCACCAGAGCTGGTCTGATGGCGGGGGGAGGGGTGCAAGCTGGAGGTCGAAAAATAAGCAGAAAGGGAGACCGTGGGGACAGCTGGTACAAATAACACTCGTGTGGATTTTAGCTGTGAAAGAAGGGTTATGGAGTTGTAGCTGGAGGGCAAACCAGATGAGAGGCTTTTTAAAGATAGGAGTGGCTTGACTGCTGTTACAGGCTCTGTCAAGAATCAGGATCTCAGGAAGTATGATGTCAGAGCTCAAGAAGTAGAGAGCATGGGGTCAAGGACACAGGTAAAGGATTAGGCTGGGAGTGGGGGAGCTGACAGGAGGCCAAGGTGAGGATGACAACCAGTGCCACATACAGAGAAGGGGACCCAAAACACACACAAAGAACCTTCTATGCATCAAGGGTTCCACGGGGAGTTAATAATTAATTCTTAACTCTCAACTACAAAGCAAATGGTACATGTGCACCTGGTGAGCACTTTATAAGGTCCTGCTTTATGTGAACTCTGTTACACTTCTATAGAAAACCTGCCTCTTCAGGTCAGTTCGCACCTTAGCAAACGTGGAACCTTTGCCTTCAGACTCAATGGTGATAGTGTGGGTTCGCCGCAGGAGAATCTGGTCAATATCTTCTTCGCAGAACTTAGACCCTTCATCCTCCTCATCCATGAGTGCACCGTAGGCCCCCTTTCGCAGAAGATCCTCTATTTCTTTCTTGGAAAGTTGTTGGACCTGTTTTAGAGAGAGATTTAAAATAATTTAGAATTGAAATGTTTTAGACCACACAAATGCTTCGTTGTACTCAAGGAGGATAAACCTGACTTAGAAAATGTAAGGGCGCCTGGGTGGCTCAGGCAGTTAAGTATCTGATATCGGCTCAGGTCATGGTCTCACAGTTTGAGAGTTTGAGCCCTGCATCAGGCTCTCTGCTGTCAGCACAGAGCCCGCTTTGGATCCTCTGCTCCCCACCTCTCTCTGTCCCTCCCAGGCTCATCCTCTCCTTCTCTCTCTCTCTCTCTCTTTCTCTCTGGAAGGAAGGAAAGGGAAGGGAAGGGGAGGGAAGGGGAGGGGAGGAGAGGGGAGGGGAGGGGAGGGGAGCAGAGGGGAGGGAAGGGAAAGAAGAAAATATGACAAATTAGGCTGAAAATATTGAGGCTGAAAAACAATCTGATGCTGGATAATTTCTTACTATTAGTTACATAAAGCAAGGAGCCAGAAGAAAGGAAAGTTCTGGGCAGGTGTGGATTACCCCATTGGTAGCGTTTTCTCTCCCACTCATGGACTGCAGCACAGCTTTGTCCAGGCCGAGCTTCAGACTAGCCTTGTCAAACATTTCCCTTTCGTAAGAGTTTCTTGTGATCAGCCTGTAGATTTTCACAGATTTGCTCTGTCCTATTCTATGACATCTAGCCTGAGCCTGGAAGAGAAAGGAAATGAATGGCCACCACGGAAAGAAAAGACTCAAGTGTCAGCTACAAGAGCACCTGTTCCAATAAGCAGAGGCGCAGTACAGAAGGTTAACGTCCTAAGAAATTCCTTTTACATTATTAGTAAATTGATTACTCTTGGTTTATTGGCCCGATCGTGGAACACTGCTTTAGGGACTACATGGCTTTAATGTATTGGTTTCACTGGGGCTTCTCCATCACAGAATGACTTTGGGGAGAAAGAAAAAAAAAGAACGAAAGAAAGAATGAAAAGAAAAGAGAGAAAGGGCCTCAGGACGATATTCTTGAGTGTTTACCTGGAGATCATTTTGGGGATTCCAGTCGGAATCGAAGATGATGCAGGTATCAGCAGCAGTAAGATTAATGCCTAAGCCTCCTGCCCGTGTACACAGGAGGAAAACAAACCTATCAGAATCGGGTTTGGAGAATCTGTCGATAGCTGCCTGGCGGAGGTTGCCTCTCACTCTGCCGTCGATCCTCTCGTATGGGTACCTGGAAAACGTCGGGATTAACAAGAAGGCCTGATACTCGGCGACAGGACGCTTGTTTCTTTTTGTAAACGAAGTATTACAATATGGGGTATGTAGTACCCAAATGATATCATTTATCAGAAATAACTGCAGAGCAAACAGCTTTTAGGGTAGTTTGGCATATAATCGGTTGAATGCTCAAAAATTAAATTTTATTTTACTTCTTCTCTAGTAAAATAACTTAAGTCTAAAAATAGCTGACACCTCTGGGGCGCCTGGGTGGCTCAGTCGGTTGAGCGTCTGACTTCGGCCCAGGTCATGACCTCACGGTACGTGAGTTCGAGCCCTGCCGTGGGCTCCGTGCTGACAGCTCAGGGCCTGGAGCCTGCTTCAGATTCTGGGTCTCCCTCTCTCTCTCTCTGTCCCTACCCCTGCTCGTGCTCTGTCTCTTTCTCTCTCAAAAATAAATAAACGTTAAAAAAAATAAAAATTAAAAAAAAGATAGCTGACTAAAATAACAAACAATTTCAATCTTAGGTAAGACCGATTCTCCTCTAGTCAAATGAAAGAAATGGGAAACAAAACCGCCACGGAAAGTACGCGGAGTCCTACTCTGGTCACTGACAGTTTTTAGAAAGAGAGGGGACGCATTCTCCCCACTCCGTCCCCTTTATCACGAATGTCACTTGGAGGTGAAGCGCTTGGAGCCCTGGGAAAGGTCATTTTTTATTTCCTTTTTATTCTCGTGGTGCGGTGGCCTCACCGTCTTTGAATGAGGTAGTCTTCCAGTATGTCCAAGCAGCGCACCATCTGGGAAAAGATAAGCACCCTGTGGCCACCAGCCTTCAGTTTTGGCAGTAGTTTGTCAATCAGCACTAGCTTGCCAGCAGCCTGGATCATCGCCTGGAGCTGAAAATCTGGAGAGTCTGCATTGTGTGTTTCTTTAAACTCTTCCAAAATTTTCTCTTCAGCACCTGCAGAGATTGGACAGCATAACGTGAATACCGTAAAAGGTTTTTATTACTAAAAACAATGAAGTTGCTTTCAAAACCCACTGCTAACTGTAGGAACCAAAATGCCACACTCATGTTTATGAATATGAATCTATCCACTTACTAAGAGTCAGGTCTGCACAAAACCATGAAAGTATAAAAGGGATCAAAGTTTTAAGCACAACACATTTAAACACTGGGGGGGGGGGCGGGTAAAAACCACATTTTCCAACAAACAAATGTTTGCTGTCTGTAGAAACTGAATTTCAACAACAGACTGTCAAGCCAGAAGTGGCAGAAACAAGCCACGGGCCAGATACCTACAGAAAATTTGGAACCTAAATTGCTAAAGAAATGAAGAATTGTTTACTAGCTGAATATAAACACAAACAACAAAATCTGTTCTGAAGCTGAGAAACAAGGGAACAGAGGTCTAATAATTACGTTGTCAGGGCAGCGGTTTTTGTAGATAACTGCGTGTTAATACAGCCAAGAGGAGGGCACCGAAAGGGAATCCCTTTTTCAGGATAATTTTCAGAGACTTTTTAGGGGTTCTGAACGCGTATCTTCTATTGCAATCTCGAAATCTCCCTCTACGTTCACGTTCATCTGATAATTTCATGAGGTACAAAAACTCTACCTTGAATTAGCCAAAGCTTTTCAAGCTTTTAGAAAACGGCAGCAGCCATCAACCCTGTGCTGCGAAAGGCTTCTACGCCTGGCCCTCTTTTTCTCATAGCCTCGTGCAGATTTCCGCTTGTACAAAGACCTGGGTGCATCAGAGAAGCCTCAAGAGGATGACACCGTCAGGAGAGAAGCGCTCACGGCTCCCCCACACCCAAACGCCAAACACACACAGGCTAAGCTTGCTTCGACTGCTTAGGTGGCTTAGCCAGAATTAGACGGCACCGGTCTGGCCTCCTCCCATCTCGGGGGGTTAATCAGGCCACGGCTGCTGCGCTCAGCACCTCTCCCTAAGGATGGGGGTGGGGTCGCCCATTCTTTAGAAAATACAAACAAATCCACCTAATGGGATTGGTTCCCAGCCTTCAAGTGTGCCAGAAACTGTAAACTACCCTTCTCACCACTGGTTTTAAACATGTGAACTCACAATACGTCAGACGGGTATGCACAAAATCTCAAAAGGGGCTTGAAGGCCAGGTGGGTTAGACCCCACGGCTACTCGGACAGAACTTCTGCAAGCAGCAGCAGATGTGAGACGAGTGCCATCCCATTTCCATCTGAAGGGCACTTGTGCAGATCAAGTTATGGCACAGTCATATGCAGAAGTACAGCTTGGTAATTATTAACCAACAGAGAATCTTACTGAGAACTGATTAAAGGCACTTCATGCCTTTACCCAGGCACTAAGGCCCCTGCAAAGCACACTGACTTGCGAGGAAGGGGGCCTGGCCGGAAATGCCAGCAGGGTCGGAGTCACTGGTCTCTCACTCCCTTTTCCACGTGAGCAAGAGGCTAATACGCAAGACTTTTCTCTGAGTGGGGAAAAAATGGGAAAGGTTTTGACTAGGAAAAGGTAAAAACAAAATGCTGTTGAAGAGCATTCGCAGGAATGTTCTTGAATAAAGCTGAATAGTATTTTTCAAAACATGACCCTTAGAAATCCAGGTTCTAGATTCAGGACAAGAAGGCCATCAGGAGACAGGGGAGATGGATTTAAGTCCATACATTACATTAGGTCTTTTTAAAAAGTTTATTCCTGTGCCATACAGTATAAGCTCTTGACAATTCAGAACTAGATTTTACTCCTGATACTTGGGCAGTTATTTTTTTGTCCATATGAAGATTATACTTCGAACCAAAATATAGTACGTTACTTAGTTTAAAACAAGCTGATGGTTAACTCAATAGTTTTCAAAAATGAAATAATCACTTTGACAAGTATCAGACATTTGAGTAATTTTAGTAAAAAATTGAAAATATAAATACTTTAGGCAAATTCGCAGAGAAATTTTTTTCATTTTAAATTTGTTCAGAGAAAAGAAAAGTGACTTTCTTGCTTTTTCATTGCTACTACTAATTTCTCATCTTGTAAAGAACAGTCAAACTTAAAATGCATTTGCTCTTACCTGACAAAAGCTACTGCCGAGTTAGTCAATCCGGCTCTTTGTTACCAATTCAGGTTCTTAAAGTGGCGGGCAGTTTTAGAAATATCAGCAAACATCTATCCTATGTGATTCCTCTAACGCCATGTTTATCACGGTCAGATTGAAGGAAGGAGGTCAGGGAAGGTGTTGGGGAGCAAACCAGTTTCTATACCTTCTGAGGTCACAGGCAAATTTTCAAGTTTACCAATTAAAGATCTACCTTGATGTGAGATTCATAAATATCAATCCGAAAATTAATAGGTTATGATAAGCCAAAATACTTTGTGGACACTGCCCTAAATTAAAGCACTGTTCACGCTACAGTTCAAAACGTGTGTTTGCATCAGAGAAACTTGAGACGAGTGTGGAAGTCTTTTCACTTAAACAGATGGTCACTGTGAGGGCAGTGACCGCTCTGTTATCTAGCTACAGCAAGAAGTTATTATCTAGCCAACGGTGTCCAGCCACAAATAAGAAATTATTTTCTTTTGAAGACAACCAGAAACACAGTTACTATTTTCTATCCCAAATTCATTCCATTGTGCAAGCTTCGGCTTATCTTCTGTCCCCTATTCTCTCTACTCCTCCTAACCCCCAACAAGGACAACAAATGACTCTTAAGTCACTCCTAACCATTAGGGGACGCTGACCAAGTTTTCAACATTACTTGTACTCTCACATGGGGAACCTAAAACTGGACCTTCCGTTCTATTGAAGCTGGGGCCAGGAACACTGACCGCATTTATGTTCCCCGGTTACCCGCTTATCTAAGCAAAAGCAACACCGACCAAGTGCTCACAGTGTGCCCCCAAACACTGTGCTGAGCACTTAAGATGCTCGCCCACACTGAAAATATTACTCACTTACATAGTTTGGTTCTGCCGTCAGTTCTAATTCCTTTCCCTGTGCTTTGCTTACATGACCATGTGTTACCAACTTTGCCTTCAGCTTCCACAATTACAGAAATGTTGCACTTTCCGGGATCGAACTTTAGCTTGACAACCAATACAAATGTCAATTTAACCTCCACCACTGAAAACTTCCTTGAACCCGCTCAGTGAACACGTGTGAGTTAGCATCACATCAGTATACTTTCTACTCCGGATTGTGGATAAAAAGATGGGCGGTACCAGCCCCGGGGCAACCTTGGCGAAACCCAACGTCCAGTTCACGGAAGTTATCTGGGCAGTTGTAACATCGAACGTGCCCGCGGGGTGTGCGCATACATTTCCTTTACGGTTTCTCGACATAAACGCGTATACACACACCTGCTTAACAGATACTTCATAACTTGTAGGGACAGAAAAAGCTGACCCCAAGGTGTGACCAATTAGAACAACTGCCGCAGACATAAGCCTCCGAAATCCTAAGAGACTCCTGGTGAACAATGAGTTGTTATATAAGATGATCCTGAAGCGCAATCAGCCAAGGAAGAGACCCAGCAGCTGTGTTTTTTTTTTTTTTGGGGGGGGGGGACCCCTCCCTCGAAATGTTCAGTGCGTACAATCAGCAAGTAAGCAGACAAGATAGACTTGATGGAACTGCGCGTGGGTATCTGACAACGATCGATGACATCAACCCTTTCGCACGCATTCTGCTGGCAGCATTTAAGCTCTTTTGTGAGTGCCTTCCTTTCCCCCCTTGGAGGCCACTAGCCTTCATTTGCTTTCTAGCAGCTATTAAATGCAAAAGTGTGTGTGCGTCACACGCACGCGTGCTTTACTCATACCATCAATCACCCTAAGCCTCAACACCATCTCCCCAACCCAGGAACAGGCTGGTTGACACTCACCATAATGGCCTTACAGGCTCTTAAACACACAGCATTAGTAGGTTGGCAGCATTAAACACAGAGTTGTCATGCAGAATGCTCTCTTTCGCGGACAAAGCTAAAAGCGCAAAGCTTGGAAGGGAAGTTCATCGATGTCACACCACAGCAAGGGCCTCAGGTGATACCCCGAGACTGTCTTCCAGGCGTGGACCACTCTGTCACTGAATAACAAAAACTTGGGGACCTGAGGTGGCTGACAGGTGTGTAAGCCATGAAAGGGGGGAAAGATCGGAAACTCTTTAAATTAGCTGCCCTTGAACTCCATGGATCGTGGTAAAGATAAAACCAAGCTTTGTTCCCCTGGAAAAGGAACCTAATTGCATCGCTGGCCGGTTATAATTGCGCACAAACACCTCAGTTGAACTGGTCATCACTTTTCTTTAACCCGTATGAACTCCGGCCAGGTATGGCAGCAAGAGCCTCCTGGCAGGTCTTTCTGCCTGTAGGTCTTTCTCTGCTCCCTCCCATCTGTTTTATGTGGTGTTGCCAGGTCAGCCATCCTGAATCACTCCTCAGCTCAAACACTAGCCACGGTTCTCCACTGTCTACGGACTAAAGCCAACATTCCATGACCTCGCATTTAAGCCTCTCCACTGTGGGGGTCCCAGGATGTGTGTCTAAGGGTCACTGTCCCACTGCTACTTACGTGGACTTTATACTTTGGGCAAGTTCCCCTTTGTTTTCCTGCCTCTTTGTCTTTTCTCAGATGTTATTACACCAGTCTAAGTGCCCTTCCTTTTCCTGACCCTGACTGGCAAACTCCTTCCCACCCCCACAGACTTGTCTCAGTGCCACCGCTTTCTCATCGCTCTGTAATCTCCATCCCTGACAAACCTGAAGGCTCCCATACCCTCCAGAGTGCCCCACACATCACAGGCATGCAATATGGACCCGCTGAATATTTCTGGAAGGCTACAAGACAGGTTTTTGCTCAAATCAGTTATAAGACACTCTCAATGTAGCTAAGAAAACAGGAAGGCTATAAAGTATTCATCAGTAACGGAAACAAACTGTTCTCAAAGTTTTAAAATGACCCCTCATGGTTGATGGGGGGTGGGAGGGAGGGGAGGGTGGGTGATGGGTATTGAGGAGGGCACCTTTTGGGATGAGCACTGGGTGTTGTATGGAAACCAATTTGACAATAAATTTCATATACTGAAAAAAAAATAAAATAACCCCTCCTTCTTAGGGAATAAGTCCTAAAAGCGTCTAGACTGAAACTTCTTCCTATCAAAGTCTCCAGACAGCTGCCAGCCACCTTCTCCGCCAGCTCCTCCTCAACTTGTCTGATGCAAACACACACACGGAACACGCGTGCGTTTGTGTGCACGCACGCGCACTCCCCCCGCCCACACACAGCCAGAAAGTCTCAATTGAGGCTAATCTCTCTTTAGCTGTTAGCACGTTTGATGCTTTTCAGCCAAGAACACTAACACCTCCTTCCAAGGGGTGAGACAGAGGCAGGGAAGGAGGAGACAGGAGAGCTGAGGTCCCGCCACAAGGATCAGGGAGGGCAACGGTCCTCCTCCTTCAGCCACCACAGGAGGCGTCAAGAAGAACGGGAAGGTGGTGAAACCCGTGTTGAGATGACAGGATCCAGTCACGACTACAACCCACGAAGTCCTCTGGAGGGAGAAAAGGACTCCTGGAGGTTGGACAGTCATTTAAAACGTGCTTCCCGGCGCACAGGCTTACCGTTAATAAGGTATGGGTGATTGCAGCACTTCCGTAGCTCCATCATAGTGTTTAAAAGGTTAGGTACGTTAGCTTGACCACCACCTTTGGAGAGAAATGTGAAATTCTTCTCAAGGATGGCTCGGTAATATTTCTTCTGAATGTTCGTGAGCTCAACTTCAATAATGGTTTCTTCTTTGGGGGCCAAGTTCTTTTCTACATCCTCCTTGAGACGTCTCAACATCATTGGCTTTAGAATAGCCTGGAGTTTTTGCACCTGAAAAAGGACCTTAAGTAAATACTGGTATCGTGATTTGCTTGCATGTTAAAACACATTCTAACATGGAAAATCAGGACTATCTTATTCGTTTACCATTCATTTTCATTTGTCAAAGCCCAGTAAGGGGATGAAGCCCTAATCTCTCAGCTTGCGTCACAGAAGCGCACAAAGGTTGAATGAGTCGGCGTTAAATGGCCTGTTTCAGCCAGGAGCCCGAGCAGCCAGAAGGCCTGACAAGCAGCAGAAAAGAACTCAGTGTATTCACTGAGCCTTCCCTTCTGTTTGTCTCAAGCCATAGGGATGATGAGGAAGAGGGAAGACACGATGTCATGGGAGTGCTGTGCTTTAGTTCCCTTCCTTTCTGGAAAGAGCTAACAGAATGAGCAAGCCAGGAGGTACCTGCTCCGTCCACCAACAAGCGGGCAGAACATCTCTCTCTGGTTCTCGTTTCTGCTGACTGGCAATAGGACATACAGCTCACAGGATAGTTTTTATTTTAAGAAAAGCAAAACCAACATAAAGCAGACTTTACCCTGAACTGAACTAAGAGGCTTTAAACAGTAAGTTGTAGGGGGCAGGGGCCATAAAGACCAAGATTTCCAGCGTATCTCTATCTGTTTCAATTACAGTAAAATAATGAATACCCACACAGCTCTTAGGATATATAAAATAACCAGCTGCTTTTCAAACACAATACCTCATTTATTTCTCACAGAAATCCTGTGGGGTAGTTTAAATGAAAATACAGAGAGTCAGAAAAGTAAGTTAACAAGTATGACTAGAATCCCGGAACTCCAGGGGGCGAATAACTACAAATTGCCATGGCTTCTGACACTGAGCTCACAAGTGTACATAGTGAAATCACCATCCTGAAGAGCACCGCGGTCTCTGAAAATTACATGAGTAGGTAATAAGTAACCTCGCTGAACAATTCTCAACAGCCCGTCACCAGGGCAGACACACAAACAAGAACACGTCGACAATGAAGACTCGGAATGTCCAAGGAAAGGAGGCGGAAGGCTCCCCTGACCAGGAGGCGAGAAAAAAACCGACACAATTTACATTTTTACGTAGCTAAGTAGGAATGCTTTGCCACTTCTTGGGTTCGTCTTCAACGACGTGACTAAAGCACAAAGTAGACGTGGTAAGTACCTGTTCTTCTGTTTTCAGATCGCCAAATTCTTGCATGAAGGTGGTTTCTGAAGGGAAACGACTCGGTTCCAAGAAATGAAGCAGGCTGAAGAGTTCCTCCACCGTGTTCTGTAGGGGGGTCCCCGTCAGCAGCACTTTGTGCTCCTGCGGGAACACAAGGAAAGCAACGGACTGAATCGCGACAGAAGCGGCGTCTTAAACCCAAAGCCTCTTTTCCCAGACATCCATTTGCCTACTTCTCATTCGTGCAGCTCGGCATCCACCACACGTGACGTGGAGGCGGTGGGCGCGAAGGCGGAGATACGAGGAACACTTGGACCCTGCTTCAGACACGTGGCGGGGGCCCTCTGGAACGCTGCAGACCCCATAAACATGTCTTGCCCTTTCATTTCTTCCAGGGGTTACCAGGTCGGCATTTTAGTGCCATGGCGGTGCAAGTGGCCTGAGTCCCAATGCTTTTTCCCCTCCCCAAGTTTTTTTCCTAAAATCCCTGGACTCAGAGAGAGCTCACATGCTTCTTTCTGTTCTCTACATCAACAGCATTCTCATCTCCCCATCTGCTTCCTGCATGACTCACTTTAGAGACAAAAGAAGTTCTTCTACAGGCAACAGCATATGAAAAACCATTTTGTTCTGCAAAAATTTCAAACTAGCAAAGAGGTCAGCTTGGTTTTAAATACCACAATCACTTTTTTTTTTTTTTTAACAGATGCTATTTCTAACTTTGTTTCTTTGAACCAAGTTAGGTATTTCTTTAAGATAATTCTTCCTGTTTACGAGCTCTTTCTCCAGCTTTCCTCATGCATCTGTTCTCTTGTCTTTGTGTTTTATATACCCAACACAGAGGAGCTGTTTCGCAGTGACCGGTTTTAACGGTAGTGAGTTCATTAATCTTGAGGGCCTCATTGGTCAATATTTTGTTTGGCCATTTCACGCACAGTACAGTGAATAAAACTAGTTCAGAAAGTGACCCTACCTTCTCGTAGATTCAAAAGCAATTGTTCCGACTTAACATGAAATCTGACAAGAGTTGGCTGCAAGCAGAGAGTATATGCTCGGGAAATACTAGATAAATGATACAACTAGGGACACGATAATTTTCATAATATGTACCACGCCTCATCTGCCAGTGAAGCTCTTTGAAAGTGAGGTGAAGCAGTGCAGTTTGCTTTCATTCCTCCTCTTCTTCCTTTTGGATAAAGAGGTCTCTCAGGAAGATACAGAGACCACCATCATCTTCGGACTCATTAAATTCATAGAGTAAGGAGTCTGCAAATCAACTCAAGGGTTTCTACTGTAAAACCATCCTGGTGGGTAACATGGGCCGCAGTCCCTGACATACTCAAGTTCTGAATTACTCAAGAATTTTTTACACTGTCACAGATTTGGGAAGGAGCTACTGCACTGGAACAGCTGTATCGATACTGAAGATTGTCTCCCGGTTTTCTCGTATCCGTTATGACCGAGCTCAATCCTTAACCTCTAACCAAACACTTCAGAAAAAGCCTTTTAAGTTATTGATTTCAAAGTAATATTTGAAAAAAAGGAAAGGGGCTCCTTTTTCATGCTGTTTTCCCTCCAGGGCTGTTTAAAGCCAGTTATACCAAATGATTACACACATGACGTTTTTATAAGGTTACATACGAGTAGTGGAACAAAACCAGGTTTTCATTTGAAAGTGACTGTGAAATAACACCTGATGAATACACACAGTATCATAAAACATCATGTAAGAGACTGGGGCTACCAAGCTTATCACCTCCAAGCTCAACTACGCCAGGGGATACGCTTTTGGCTTGAAAACGTTACCGTCCCTCCCTGTTAGCTCTGATGGAGTGATACACATTTCATTTCATTGCAGCAAACTCTTTAATTTGCGTAAGGCCTCCTGACAATGAAAGAGGAGATGATGGAATCAATGAAGGACCACGGCCACCTCCAGAGAATCCCCTCCTTGTCAATGATGCACAAGGGGATGCCGTGCTCCCCAGGGCTTCTATGGAGGATGGGTGGACCATAGACGTCCCTCTACAAATCCTGTCCGGAAGCATTTCCCTGGGGATGGGAGAGCTGAAGACACTCGCTGGTCTCCTCCTTCTGAGCAGGCACTTGAAACACGATCGTCATCAAGTGCCCCTTCATCCTAACTGAGTCTAGGGCAGGAAACAGCGCTGGCCTCTGACCTGCTCCGTAGCTGGATATACTTACTGGTCCTTATTTTCACTGTGACTTATTCTAGGAAAGAAGAATGAAAAGCAGCCAGTGTAGAAGTTCTCATGATATTTACTGTAAGTAAGGATTTCAAGGCCAAGCAATGAGCTGTCCAGAACGGGACAAATACAATTACACTCCAATTCTGAACAGTGCTGCTCTGTTCCGTCTGGAAAACGTCTCTTCTGAGATAAAGATTCTTGGCCATCAGAAAAACAACTATTTGGTTCATTTGCTTATCAGAGATTTCCAGTGGTTCATTTGCAATCAGAGCCACGAATGAGTTACAGGTATGCAAGTCCTTGGGGCAGCCAGCAGGGTTGTGAGTCAGTATCCCAGGGCTGGTCACCTATGGCAGTGGGCAGTGTTCTCAGCTTACCCCACTGTGACATACTACAATGACACGCAGAGAATATCACCACTTTCTGTATGTGCCATTACGTGAAAACGGTTAGGATACACTGCAATTTGTAACCAAAAAGTTATCTGTATAACAGATTCTAATCCATTAATGAAGTGTTGCTGTAAACAATGGAAAATCCTTTCAAGTCTCCCAATGACAATTAGATTGTTTGCTGAGAGAGTTGAATCTGTACATATCATTGGAGGACTGCTTTGCAGTTAAGCATCAACTGCCTGGAAGCACATAAACTAGTAATAGGAAACAACTTAGATAAACTCAGGTGACGATTTAAGCCTTCGGCAAAGGGTACTGTGTCTTCTACATGAACCACTGTGAAGATGGGTCCCTACTCAGAAGATACAGGTCAGTATTTCGGGAACATTCGCATTTCCCTGCCGATACAGGTTGATTTCAACGTAAGGCTAACGTATCGCCTGAGAGAACGGACACAGTAGCAGAGTTTCTCTTTTCCACTTGCTTACCTATGTCTTCAAGACCATGCGCTGTTTCTAAAGTATTCTAATTTCTTTTGTGGATTGGCCATCAAATATAAACTGATTTGAAAAGTCTTAGGATGGGAAATCCCATCCTTACTAGCATAATTCAGGCGGACTTTTTCCTTTAAACACAACTAGACTTTGTTTTTGATTAAAAGAAGAGCTGGCTAATGAATAAGAGAATTGCTTCAAAGAACCAGCTGCAACAGAAAGCTTTTAAGTGTTCTTTTCGGTAGTACGAGTCTTCAGTAAAAAAAATTTATAGCCGCAAACACATAGAATGTTCCTTCCCCTCTCAAACTCTCAATTAACAAGAGATCAAATTAATCTGCAGAAGGCAACATCAAAGAGATTTTTAAAATTTTTTGCACTTTTTAAAAACTTCGCAAAAACATTCAAGGCATACTGAATGACAGTAACATTGCTTCTAAAACGTACATTAAAAATGAAAACAAGTGATCAAAACCCACCTTGCAAACTACAGATAGCAAAGAAGTCTGAGGATGACTGAAGTCACGTAATAATTTCTGCTAGGAAACCATACACACAGAAGTATGGAACAGAAACTCAGTTAAATCCTACCACCTCTACAACACGTTATCCCATAACACTCCTACTGAAAAAAACCTATCAGAAAAACCTGACCACCTCTTCGGAAGTGGGGAGAGGAAGGGGCAAGCATGGTCTAAAACTCCAGATCAAATTCAAGGTCTCATAACGCCCCAAACTTCCAAGGGTCTGTGCGAACTTGACCAATCCCAGGTATTAACCCATCTTACTAAGAACCTCCATTTACAAGCCCTACTGGGTCCAATGTGCCAAAACCATGAGCCCTGGAATATAACTTCATTACCATTCCTGGACCAAAGCCTGGCCCAACAGCATATGAAATGGCAGTATTTATAAGCAAAAGGGAAAAGTAAATAGTTGAAATCCATCTCAGTGAAACTATCCCGACTACAGCCTGCTGTAACACAATTGCACAAAGATACCGGCCAATCATGTAAGAATCAAGGACAGCAGCAACTTTTGAGTAACTAAAAGCTCAGGAGGATATACCACCATATTTGACAGGCTTTGCAAACCCTACACCGGTAGCAGTCAAATTCAAAGCAGTGGGAACACCGAGTCAGTAACGATCCTGTTCAGGTTCAATGGAACCATCACTATGATCACTGACCAAGTCCATCATCTTGAGCCCCTCCAGAAGCTTGCAGTTCCTATTCTTCAGCCTGTGGGCCTCATCGATGACGACACAACGCCATGGAATATTCCGCAGCTCAGGACAATCCGTCAGAATCATCTCAAATGTAGTGATGATGGCATGAAACTTGTAGGACCCCTTTATCACTCGACCCTATAAGAACAGTTCTAAATTACTGTTTAGCATTACAGATCACATTAACTTTGATTAATAAAAAGCATGAAACATATGTATTTCTCTTTTAGGGACATCTTTATTTTGGGTAACACATGCATTTTGTTCTCAAGGTATTTTGCAGGGGGGCTTTAAAACCCTTTTTTTAAATTTATTTTTTTTAATGTTTTTTTGGTTTGTTTTGTTTTCAGAGAGAGAGAGAAAGAGAGAGAATGCACAAACAAGCGGGGGAGGGGCAGAGACAGAGGAGAACAGAGGGTCCAAAGCGGGCTCTGCACTGACAGCAGTGAGCCCGATGTAGGACTCGAACTCAAGGACCGTGAGATCATGACCTGAGCCGAAGTCGGATGCTCAACCAACTGAGCCACCCATGCGCCCCTAACAACCTTTCTTTTTAAAGGAACTCTGCAAATCATTAGTAAAATTTCTGATTCAATTTCTCTCCAGATCACATGTAGTAAAGCGCCACTAAGCATGTTCATTCTAGTTACAGCCTACAGACTCCAGAAAGGTAAGAAGCCAAAAGGATGATGTACTAAGGCAACTTTTTAAAACCTTTTTTACTTTCGAAAACTTTTTACTTTTATTTTGCTTGGGTAACTTATTTTTTACTTTTTTTCTTGAGAGGGAGGAGTAAGTGGGGGAGAGGCAGAGGGAGAGAGGGCGGGGGGGGGG